CTCTGGTCCTTGCACTTGCGCAGCAGGCAGCAAAACCACTGAGCCAAATCCCCAGCCCTATTTTTTTTTTTTAAGTTGGGGTTGAACTTGGGAGTTTAGCACTGAACTACATTTCCACCTCTTAAATTTTTTTTTTTTTTAATTTTTGAGATAGGATTTTAATTGTTCAGTTGTCCAGAGTGGGTTTGAATTTGTGATTCTCCCGCCTTGGTTTCCCAGAGTGCTGGGATTACAGTCATGCATCCTCATGCCCAGCTTCTGGTGACCCAAATTTTGATGGAAATGTATTTGGTATTTTCAATCCTGAGAAGGCTCATGTACAAGTATTCCATGTGTTTTCTAAGGATTGGTAATCCAAGAGCTTCTAATTTCTCCTCCTGAAGTGAAGATATTGACAACCTTTTAGGCCCAGGGCAGGGTTGTTCCTGGGAAACCCAAGAACAAGGAATATTCCCAAGTTTAGTCCTCTGCTGCTATAGATTCTTTCAGATGCATCATTCGCTCTGTGGTAGAAGCTACTTGTGGGAGATAAGCTGGCTGGGTAATAAGCATCTTCTTTTTGAATTGCTTTTTATTTTTCTGCTACTTGGACCAAGAAATAAAAGGTGGTTATTCTTTGAAAATTTGGTTTGATCCTAGGTTTGCCTAACGAAGCTAAGAAATGGTAATATCTGAAGAAATAAGAAATTGGATTTCCCTACAAGAACCTTTATCCTTTCTTAACAAATTGTGTTAAAGGATCCCTAGGTTTGCCAGTGCATTCCTTCACTAAACAAGGACTAATGACGGCACAGTGGCACTTGCTTATAATGAGGCAGGAGAGTTGAGGGTTTGAGGCCATCCTGGACTAATAGTGAGACCCTATTTCAATGAACAATCCAAAACCAAACCAAAACAAAAAACACCAAGGACTTATGGGGCATCCTGAGTTTAGCACCAGAGGAGATACAAGGCTGCCTGGGACAACAGCTCTTCTAGTTTCACGTCTCCCTCTTCTCTCATTCACTTCACTTTGGCTCTAAAGGCATATTCTGAGAAGCTTTTGCTTAGCTATTAATGTCAAACCATTTAGCTACTGTATCCTGATCATGTTATCCTAGTATTTAAAACCTGAATTACTTTTTCATTAGCCTTAGAATAAAATCTAGCTGGATATGGGGTTGCATGTCTGTAATTCTAGTATTCATGAGGCTGAGACAGGAGAATCACTATGAGTTCAAGGCCAGCTTGGGCCACATAGTTCAAGGCCAGGCCAGAATACATTGTGAGACCCTGTCTCAAAACAAAAAACAAACAATAACAAAAAACCCCTAAAATCTTTAAGTTGTATCTGATTACCTAGGCATCAAAAACACAGATTCCATTTTTCTGATTTAGTAGGTCTGAAATTGGGCCTAAAAATTTGCAATCCTATCAAGTTTGTTTATGATTCTGATGCTGCAAGACTAGGGATGGCACTTAGATAATTTCCTCAGAAAACTTTGCTAGTTAAGTTTCAAGACAGCTTAAATAATTTACTCAGGGCCATTTCACCACTGAACTACATCCTGGTCCTTTTTATTTATTTTGAGACAGAGTCTTGCTATACTCCTGAGGCTGACCTTGAATTTGAGATTCTCTTGCCTTGACCTACTGAATAGCTGAGATGACAGACATGTACTACCATTCCTATCAAAGGCAGTTTTTATTTTACCTAAAAGCGCTGCAATATTTTAAGACATACAAACAGCTACAAGGAATAATTTAATGCTTGAGTACTCATCTTTGGAAACCAATCCATACTTACATAAGTAAAAGCCTTATATAGCCCCCTAGGATCACTTTTCCCTCCATATACCCAGAGAGGTACTATCTTGTATTTGAATTTTGTTTGCTTCTGGTTAACAGCATTTTGCTGATAAGCCCTACTTAATCAAATGGTAAGCTCCTTGAAGGCAGGCACTGTTACTGACTTATGTGCTCCCCCTTCTCCCCACTTAACCATATGAGCAGTGGTTGTTTTCTCATGGCTGTGTGTTAGAACTACCTGAGGGAATAGATCACCTTAAAAACCAATGCCTGGGCCGGGGATTTAGCTCAGTGGTTTTGCTGCGTGCTGCGCAAACGCAAGGACCCAATTTCAATCCCCGGTACCAAAAAAACCAAACAAACCAATGCCAAGGGTTCTCAAGAGTTCTGATTATTAGCTCAGTGGCACCACACCTGCCTTGCAAGTGCAAGGTCCGGAGTTCAATCCCCAGTATCAAAAAAGAGAGAGTTCCGATTGTGGTCTTGGGGTAGGGCTTAGGCATTGGTATGAGCTTAGAAGGTGTCCCAAGAAATTCTGGTTTGTAGCCCAAGTATGGAGATCCATATTTTGTCAGGTTCCTTTGGTCTAGTGGACTTGGCATCTATCCTTGTCAGTGTTTATCTCAAGTGTAATTTAGTACCCTCAGTGAGGGCTGATTTGCTTTGTCTTTTATATTGCCATCACAGAGCCTAACACTATTGTAGGCTCCCACTCTTTGAACAAATGAACCTGAGCAGTGTCCATAACATGCTCACACAGGAAGTATATGTCTGATTGGGACAACATAACCATGTTACCAACTTGTTTCCACTGAGAAGGCAAGGTGAACACCACAGACTGTTAAAATGCCCAAACTACATTATAGAGGACAAATTAATGTGTTTATGCTTACTAATAGTGGCCTTTGGAGGTGAGATTAGGGTTTGTCATCCATCTTGTTTTACATTTTGACCTTATGTTAAGAAAGTTCTTTCTACTGCACCTGCCTCAAAAGTGCAAGATCCTGAGTTCAATCCCTGGTACAAACAAAAGAAAAAAAAGAAGAAAGTTCTTTCTAGGCGCAGCGGTGTGCATGTCTGTAATCCCAGATACTTGGGAGAAGGAGGCAGGAGTAGTACAAGTTGGAGGCCTGTCTGGACAATTCAGTGAGGTCTTGTCTCAAAATAAAAAACCAGGGGCCAGGGATTTAGCTCAGTGGTTTTGCCCCCTGCCATGGAAGCTCAAGGACCCGAGTTTGATCCCCAGTACCAAAAAAAATAAAAATAAAATAAATAAAATAAATAAAAAACCAAAACAACTAGGATGTTGCTCAGTGTTAGAGCATCCCTGGGTTCAATCCCTAGTACTACCCCACCCTCCCCAAAGAAAAGCTTTTGTAAGAGATAAATGAGCAGATCTCTAGGTGTTTTCATTAAGGTCTTTAATTGTCTTTTTGCTGCAAAACCTTTGAGGGACTCATCTGAAAAGTAGTATCTGAGTTTTGATTATAGTTATTTTTGAGAGACTTGGAATTACATCTTTAAAGGCTATTTAGGGAGCTGGGTGTGGTGGTGCATATCTGTAATCCTAGCACTAGGGAGGCTGAGGCGTGAGAATTGCTTTTGAATTCAAGGCCAGTCTGAACTGCATAGTGAGACCCTGACTCAAAAAAATTTTTTTTAATTAAAAAAAATTTAAAAATAAAAGCTTTTATTTAAAGTATTCATCCAAGGCCAGGCAATGGTAGTTGGGAAGCTGAGGCAAGAGAATCACTACAAGTTCAAGGCCACCTTGGGCTACATAATGAGTTCAAGGGCAACCTGGATTGCATAGTGAGACCCTATCTCAATAAAATAAACCCAAAAGGGCCATAGATTTAGCTCAGTGGCAGTGTGCCTGCCTTGCAGGTGCAAGGTCCTGAGTTCGATCCCCCATACCAAAAAAAAAAAAAACAAACCCAAAAGATGGGCTAGGGCTGTAGCTCCGTGGCAGAGTGCTCACCCAGCACATATGAGTCTTGGGTTTAATTCCCCAGCAGTGCAAAAAAAATTTTTTTTTCTTCATCCAAGTATACGTAGTTTCCCTAGAATGATACATGCTTCCCTAGTTTTTCTTAGTGAGCATATCTGTAAATTTACATTTGATTTTGAATGGTACCTAAGATGGATGGGTGTCTGTGTGTTTTGCAGTTCTTGGGAATCAAAACCTATGCTCTTTCATGTGCTGCGCAAGTACTCTACTGTGGAGATAATAATGGAAAAAGAATACAGAATTTAAAACCTGGATCTGGATAAGTTAGGTAGTGCTTCTCAGATTTTAGCATGCGTTAAGAATTACCTGGAGATTAATTAAAACACTAAATTCTACCTGAGAGATTCTGGTTTAGTTGTCAGGTGTGACCCAAGAATTGTGTTTCTCAGGCAGTACTGAGGCTGCCAGTTCATAAACCACAATTGGAATTACACTGAGCTAGGTAGTTGTGTGTGTGTGTGTGTGTGTGTGTGTGTGTGTGTGAGAGAGAAAGAGAGACATGGTCTTGCTATGCAGTTTGGGCTGTTCTTGAACTCACGTAGCCCAGGCTGGCCTCCAACTTGCAGCTATCCTTCTGCCTCAGTCTCCTGAGTGCTGGGATTACAGGCATGCACCATCATGCTTGGCTTTTTTTTTGGTACTGGGGATTGAACTTGGGTCCTTGTGCTTGCAAGGCAGGCACCAGAACCACTGAGCTAAATCCCCGGCCCAAGGTGTATAGTCTTGAAAGAGAAAAAATTTTTTTTTCTACTAGACTAGGAGGACACAGTGGTAACAAATGAAAAATAGTGACTTACATACTATCTTTGTACTTTTGGTAATCTGAAAGGCAGGCTGTGAGTTGAAAAGAGGCTTGGAAGAGCTGATACTGCCTTGGAGTTGTGGCCTTCAAGTATCCCTGGGTTAAGGCAGCTTTTATGTGTTGTGTTTTTTTTTCCCGGTTCCAGGGATCAAACTCGGACCTTGCACTTGCAAGGCAGGTGAAGTATAAGGGAGCTTTTATGCTGTTAGCATTATTGCTGGGAGCTTTCCACCTCTGCTCTGTGGTGTTCATCATTGGATCCTTTCCATTAGTGGAGCCACACTCATTTGGTCATCATATCCTAGTCTGCCTCAAAAATGGCTTTCAAATCCAATTTCCTGTGTTTCCTTGCTGCCTTTTTTTTCCAGGTCCCGGTTACCTCTCACCTGGTGTCTTGCCACAGACTTTGGGCTGTTCTGTTTCTTTTCTTCCCCTTTTACTTCCAAGTCTGTCCTCAACATAATTGCCAGAAAACAGTCCTGATGAAGTTACATGACTGCTTTAAAATCCCTGGCTGCCAGTTTTTTGTTGTTTTTTTTTATAGAGTTAAGTTTAGGCATGACAACATGTAATTTCCTTTGTGATGTGGAAGATTGAGATATTTGAAATGTAGTAAGTTTCTGTCCCTGATGTTATGGGTATAATAAAAAGGAAAAAAGACATTAGATAAGCATTTGACTTGGGTCACTGACTATGACATGGTTGCTGTTTTTAAGGATCCTCCTGTTTCCTTAGTGAAATACACATACAACAGAAGGACATGTGCTTGAATGTTCTAATGTGTGCTGTCACAGTTTGGTGAACTCAATGATTCATTTATGTCATAATTGTTGAGGGAAGTCATCACGGAACAAGTTGAGTATGAGGTAGACATGAGTATATTTAAGTGGTTGAAAAGGAAAAGTTCAGCTTGTGCAGAGACCAAGCAGGGATGGGGAATGGAATGTAGGTATTTGGGTGCTGATCAGGCTTTCTTGGTGGGGAATAGCAAGAAGGAAAGCTAGATCACAGAGGTGTTCACACCCTGCTGGGCTAAGTAAGCCCATTAGGATCTGATCTTACAAGCCTACAGACAGTATTTTTTCAAAAATGATCTATTGGTAGTAGGATTTGAAAAGGAGAGTATGAAAGCAAGAGAATAATTTAAACTGTTGAACTAATTCTGGCAAAAGATATGCAGCTAGGGGCCAGGGATTTAGCTCAGTGGTTCTGCCGCTTGCTTGCCTTGCAAGCACAAGGACCCGAGTTCAATCCCCAGTACCAAAAGAAAGAAAAAAAAAAAAAAAAAAAAAGATGTGCAGCTTTACCCTTCTTTCTCATTTGCATAGCTATTTAGTCCCACATGTAAGATGTGTGGGAAAGAATCTATAGAATCGAGAATAATGAATTCTACTGGGTGAATGATGTAAAATTATTTTGTTTGCTTATTGGTTGTTGGTGGGTTTTGTTTTTTGTTTTTTCCCCTTGCAGTAGTAGGGATTGAACCCAGGGCTTTTCCACCCCCAGCTACAACTCCCAGCTCTTCCTTATTTTTTGTTTTGAGACAGGGTTGCCCAGGCTAGGCTTAAACTTCCAGTCTTCCTGCCCCAGCCTCTCAGAGTGCTGGGATTATAGACATGGGCCACCATGCCAACTTTAAAGGTCTGGACTGATTGCTTTAGGGTGGAGGGAGAGAAAGAAAAAAATCTCATTGACAGCAATAGGTTAATAGGGAAAACTCATTTTTGAGTAGAAGTTCCATGTTTGTGATATAAAATACAATATAACCACAGAGATGAAAAACTAAAACTTGGGGTAAGAGTTGAGTCTGGATAGAGTTGCAGAGTTGTCTGTGTGCTAGATAATAGTTAAACTGTGGACTGAACTAGACTTCAGAGGCTGTGATTGGAAAATGTAAAGAAGAGCCAGATGGAGCCCTGAACAATGCCTGCAATCACCAGAGGGATGCAGCCAACAGAGTTGTAGAAATCGGCAGAGGACCAGGAGTGTGTGATATTTTTGGAAGCAAAAGGAAGAGGGAAAATGGTCCACATCAACTTTATATTTCAAGGAAAACAGACAGTAGATTTATCATGACGCATTTTTATTGGGATTCTTTTTACATAGGGAAAGGGCCTGATTTCTAGTTTTTGTGATACTGGGGATCAAAACCCAGGGGGTGCTCTACCACTGAGCTACATTCCCAGCCCGTTTTGTTTTTATTTTGAGACAGGGTCTCGCTAAGTTGTCCAGGCGGGACTCGGAACTTGTGATCCTCCTCCCTCAGCCTCCCTCCGTGCTGAGATTACAGGTGTGCACCACTGCACCTGGCTACTGAAGGCTAAGGGAAAGGTAAAGAGTATTCTCTCTCTCTCCTCTCTCTCTCTCCCTCTCTTCCTCTCTCCTCCTCTCTCCTCCTCTCTCCTCCTCTCTCCTCCTCTCTCCTCCTCT